CCAGCCCCGGCGGCGGCGCAGACCCGCCCGGTCAGGCTCACCGCGCTTGAGGATGGCGCTGTGGTGCGGCAGGCGGCCGCCGCCCTCCAGCGCAGAGCAGTTCCAGCGCTGGTCGCGCAGCTGGTGCTGACACTCGTGGACTGCGATGTGCAGGCCCTGAAGCGCCGACGCCGTCACGTCGGGGCTGCGCAGGCACAGGCCTAACTGCCGCTTGCTCAGGCCCGACAGCGTCAAGCACACGGTGTTGGCGGTCAGCGGCGGCTCGCCCGGCAGCTTCAGGCCCAGAATCTCATTGCTTAGGGCCCTGGGAACGGAGAAGGCGTTTCAGGGTCTGCGGTCCAGGCCTCGCGCCCCCTCCGATTCCTCCCGCCCCGACTCGGTGCTTCTAGCCCAGGGCTTCATCTCGTGGGCTGGGTGACAGGGGAACTGCTCACCGACTGCACAACGCCAGGAACAGGAGACCCGCGAGGCCCGAGGGCGGAGGCCGCGGCCGGGGCTCCTCCCGCATGTCGAAGCCCGGGCCCGAAGGCGCCGGTGGGCAGATCGATCAGGGCCTGCTGAGCAGGGAGACTTTAATGAGGGCTCTGGAATAGGGTGGCTCGCCTGGGCAACCGAAGGATCCCCAACTTCGGGCTCTTAACTCACTAGTGCCACCCCACTGACTTCTCATTCTCCCCCCTCCCCCCAAACAAAACAACAAGTATCAGCCCTTGTTTCCCAGAGTACCTGGGCCCTGGAGGAAGAGTCCAGGTCTCGAAGCTGGGACTTATGTCATTGCCCTGGAGCCCAACCCAGCCAGACAGTGCCTGGCACACAGACACACACTCACGTGCAGACAGATGTGTAGACTCACAAACAGCTCTCCACTACCTTGCCCACCGTTCCTTTTTCCAGGGCCCCACGACTGGCTCCCCACTCCCCAACACAGCTTCACCCACTCTCAGGGCTATGGGGGAGGATTGGGAGGGAGTTCCCCACCACCCACAGCCGGAAGGGTTGAAAGAGGGGAGTGACGCCTCCAGGTGCCGTCGAGGGCCATCAGGTTCCCTGAAAAGCGTGGAAGAATGGGCTCCCCAGCCCACCCTGCCCCCTTCTTCCGCAGTAGAGAGCCAGAGGAAGCTCCAGGTGCGGCAAAGGCAGGGAGGGAACTGAGTTCCCTCCTAGAAGGGACCGCGGCGCAAGCGGAGTCCTCTTTCTCGTCTGCCACCTTTGCTAACTACATGTTCCCCTCCTCCTAGCATCGCTCATCTCGTCCCCCCTAGGTCCCCAGTCTCAGTCCCCACCCCTTTGCTCTCGCGTTCATTGCCCTCGAAATCTGGGCCACTCCTTTATTTGCTGTGTTTTTATCTCTGGCAATATCCCTGGCTCCATCGGTATCTCTGCCCCCGTGGGCGGATGCGTGTCTGTCTGTCTGACTACCAGTGTGCCTGTCTCGTCCCCGTGTGCGCGTCCCTGCCCTCCCTGCTTTCCCGGTTCCGATTACCTCCAGCTGCTCTGGTGCGGAGTCCGCCACCGGCGCGGTTGGGTCGCCTGGGCTCTGGCTGTTCAAACCGTGGGGAGACTGCGTCGGGTTCTGCCCCCTCGGCAGAGCCGCATTCTTCCAGGGCAGGGCCACTCCTCTTCGCCGCTTCCCCAGCGCCGCCGCGGCCGCCGGGAAGAAGGGAGGGAGGAAGGGAGGGAGTGATCGAGAAAGCTAGCGAGCGGGCGAGCAAAGAACTGGGGGCTCTGGCTCTACTCGCGCCGAGCTCACCGGCGTCTCTGCCGTGGCTGACAGAGCGGCGGCCCCTCCCCGAGCCCGGGGCATCCCCACCCTACTCCTAGCACCCCCCGCCTTGACCCGGAGAGCTCAGCCGCTCCCCCTCCTCCCAGCGAACACACACACCCTCTCCCCCGACGCCCGGATTCAGGCTTGGCCCCAGTGAAGGGGGAGGTGGCCAGAGTTCCACTCACCTGCTCTAGGATCACCAAGGCTGCGAAGAGGGTGCAGTGACCTAGACTCGGGAGCCAGGATCCTGGCCCCAGGTGGTCATTTCTCTTTGCCTCAGTTTCCCTATCCATTGCTGGATGGCTGGAAGGTGCCTTTGACAAGATGAAGATGGAGCTGAGAACTGACTTCTCTCGCTGGATAGTCACCAGTAGAGCCCTCAAGGAGTGCCCACAGCAGGGCAATCTGAGCTGGCAGGAGAAGCTCCCTTCTGGGTGGCTTGGCTTCTGCCCACCTCCAAGCCCTACTCCTGCCCCTTGGGAGGGGTCAGCTTTGGCCTCAGAGTTTGGCCCTAGCAGAAGCTGGGGGAGACCCAGAGATCTTCAGCCTGCCCCCATGCTTCCCTTGGCTCACAGGCATCCTTGCCAGCAGAGGTCTCCTGCCCTTCCCAGGATCCTGGATCTGCACTCCAGTTAGTCCATATTTCTGCTCTAGACTCACAAACTTGCTTCTTATGGGAGGGCCTCAGGATCCCAAACTGAGCCCAGGGAAAGAGCCTGATCTTGGGTTGCACAGACCAGACCGAGGCTAAACCACCTTAGGGAGATCCAGTGGCAGTGAAGGGGTTAGGCGCCACTGTGCTCCTGCCTGACTCACCCTCCCAGCTCTAACCACTGCGGGCTATTTTTGCCAGAGAGGGGCCCCAGGCTTCCCAGCCGCCCCCCGCCCCTGCCAGACCGCAGCCCAAGGCACGGCTGGCCCCGAGAGCCCAAGGCTGGCACATTGACTCAGAGACAGGCCCCCCGGAGAAGTAGAGCCATGGGGCTGAAACCCACAGCCACAGTCATCTCTTCCTTGGTAGTGGCCATGCAGCTCTGCTGGGCAGCCAGCCTCCAGTTTGTGCAGCTGCAGGTCCTGCCCCGTGCTGCAGGGGGCACTGCTGTCTAGGGGGCAGAGCTGTCTGAACACCATTAGTGACTTTCATCTGTTGGGATATTTATCAACCACCTTTATGTGTCAGGCCTCATGCAGGCTGGGGAGGTGAAAGTGCCATGGTTCCTGACACTGGACAGCTGTGACCCCAGAAGGTTGCTTTTCTCTGCTTTCTCACCTCTGGGGGAGAGGTGAGAAGGAGAAGGAGCCCTAGAGTTCTTGCCCCTGCTTCCTGTTTAGGGGCCAAGAACCCAAGTATGTGTGGCTTTTGAAGCCACCAGGATCTGTACCCTATCTCAGTAGCTTTTGTCCTTACACCTGGATTCAGTGATTGTCACCAGTGTCCATGTCCTGTTCCCTGCATGTCAGCCTGGAACTTTACCTACGTCCCCTGGAGGAGGGGAACCAGGTTTCCTATGCCCCTCTTCTCCCAGGGGGACCTCTTAGACATTTGTGTTCTCCATGTGTCTCCGGTTCTCCCTTCAGTTTCAGGTTGCTTCTTCTGATTCTACCCTTGTGAGGCTCAGTATAGTCAGGTGCCAAGGAAGGACCAGGGTCAGAACTGTTACCACAGATTCCAACTTCTTAGTGACCCCAGGACTCCCCCAAGCTGACCTGTCCCAAATCCAAGGACCCATGCTTCTGTTTTGTCTCCCCACAGAAGCCCAACTCTGGGACAGGAGGCCACAGGCAAGCAGACTGGGTGGCCTGAGCTGGCCCCCAGTGCCCTCTGCCCGACCGGCTGGCCTGAGCACTGACCCGCAGGCGGCTGGAGGGTGGTGGGACAGGCGGGGCCTGGAGAGTGCTGCGGGTACACACCCATTGCCTAATACCCCAAGCACGCGGCCAGCTCCAGGAAAGGGGAGGGCGGGAACCAGAGAGACCTTGACAAGGGTTGGGGCCATGACAGCAGGGGGAAAGTGAGGGGCTATCATTACTTCAGGGAGAGAATGGGAGCAAGATAGTCCCCCTTCCCCTCAAGGACAGGAAGGGAAGGGGGCTGCCTTCCCATCATGGGGATGGAGGATGTATTGAGAGCAATCTGAGAAGAACACTGGGGCCCTATAGGGCGGGGGTCAAAGAAAAGAGTGGGGGCCCCTGGAGATTGGGGGATCCAGCAACTGAGGCGGCGGCTTTAGCTGAGTGCAGGGAGTCTCCCCCCCTCGTCCCCCCTCCCCCTCGTTTAGCCTTGCCCGGGGTCCCGGTCGACGTCAGTCTACGTTGCTCGAGCGCTCGATAGGGGACGGCGAGCCGGGAAC